TGGTGGGCGGGCAGCAAAACGCACACGGACGCAAGGGCAAAGATCCCCCGCACAGCCTACGCAGGCTGTTGGGGCAAGTGCCGTTAGCGAGCACCCATGAAGGGACTTCCAAGGCACACGTGGTGTGGTTAGCACCGCGCCCCCCGGCCGCCTTTGCGTTGACGTTTACACACTGCACCTCAGGTACTCGCTCAAGGCCGAGGACTGGTTCAGATATTCGCCACTGATGTTGGCCGTAGCCCGGAAATTGAACTTGGGTTGTCAGGTTCGTGGTGCATTGAGCTCACCATTACACTACTGCTCCGTGCATATTTACACACACATACATATCTGCACCCATAAAATGTATACATCATATCATATATAAAAAAAAAATTGCATTGTACTGGTCTTTAAATAAGCACCGCGATTTTGAGAAGTCTACAGTGATTTTTTTATGGATACATTTGCCCCTGTCATATGAATGTGGAATTTTGGGGCTGTAAAACTGGATCAGGGCTGCAGTAAACAGGAGATGAGTACCAATGCCTCATGCTTATTTGAGCAAGGACATCACTCTACTAACTGCTGCTGCCGCTGTCTGCACTAATGCCTTGGTGGGGGTCGCTGCTGATTGGCAGGTGGCTCTGCTGGACTTTGGGGCAAGCCGAGAGTTCAGCCAGCTGTTCACAGACGACTACATCGAGGTAAGGCACCCTGGGTCTCTCGTTGGCAGGGTTAGCGAACAAGCTGCCATTAGAGGGTATCCCAAGTTAAATAAAACTAAACCATGCGATGCATCAGTTTTCGCGACCAATATATATAAAAGGGAAATTTGTGAATGTGTCTCTGTTCGAAATGTTTAGCATACTTCCCAACATGCTACAAACTTTTAATTTGGCATTTGTGTAGATACCCGACTGTACACAATGCAAAAAGTATAAAATAGACTTTTGTATTTTTTTTTTGGGGGGGGGCGCAATAATGGATATAATGTATTGCACGGCAAGTGAGCGGTGACGTCACATTGTGATGTCACCCGCATGCGGCAGCGTCACGCAGTGTTCCTGCTGACATCACGCATCCCCCCACCCTCCGCGTAGGCCGTCTATTAATCCAAGACAAGAATCCAAGTCCGGGGCGAAGCCGGGTAGTCAAGCTAGTTATTCAAAATAAAGAGTTTGTGGATCAAATTCGGTAAATATAAATCTGTCGTTAACCCACAACCACCCGACACAGCCGATTTAGTAAGGTTTGTCACGTAAACAAAACGTGCCAATTCGTTACTTCTTCAGCACACCGGTGTTTTGGAGAGTAGACCCACAACATTTACAATTTGAGTACAACGTTTCGCTGGTGATTACAACCAGCTTCAGGCAATTTGCTGGAATTGTCAAGAAGTCTTCCCGTTTCTGCTCTTAAATCGAGTAAGGTGATGTCATCACTGTGAGCCTGTCAGGTGCGAAGATCAGTATGCGATGCGTCGTGTAATGCGACGCTTAATCTGCCCAGGTCGTCAGGGCTGCTGCTGACGGAGACACAGAGCGAGTTCTGCAGAAATCCCGCGACCTCAAGTTCCTCACGGGATACGAGACCAAGGCAAGCGCTTGTGACGAAGCTCCATCCCTGGAATTGTTTTTGCTGTTGCACTCAGAAGCCAAACCGTGTGATGATTTTTACATGTAGCGTTTGTTTCCATTAAACTTGGTTTGGGACTGGGGCCTAAGTTACAGCCGGGTTTATCTGTCTGGGTCAGTGACCTGGAATTTTATTTGACATCCAGTGTACCTCTCGCTATAGCTGTGACTACTAGTCACATGACTACTCCAGTTTATCAATAACCCAGAAAAATATTCGGTCAGAAATTAAGTCGCCCTCTGGCGGCAGGTTCCGTCCAATCGGATAACACGAAAATAGTTTACAGAAAAAAGTATCACCTCTGTTACCATTATGTGCCCCTGGACGGGAAGTGATGGGTGGGGCTGGGCAACGTCATCAGCATCAGCAGCTTTGTCATGCCGGGCCTGGCTTGTAGGGGGGGTTTCCTGCCTTCAGGAGGCAGAATGTACATGGAGCCAGCCATCGTTTTTAAAGGTGGTCAGAGCAATTGTTCCAGAAAAAAAGTAATCCATTACATGTTGTGAGTTACTTGGCTTGACTGTCCAATTATCCCAGCTCTATTCAGTCACATTTCCTCGTATTTTTATTGACCCCCACTTTGCAGCCTTCCTCATTATCTCTTAACGCAGTTCACTTCGGTCGCTTCAACCACAACGATCGTAATCGGTCGGCTGGAATGTCTCGTTGATCAGCCGACTTGACCGATCCCGGCCTCCCTGTGCCCGACCGCAGGCGATGGAGCGGGCGCACGTAGATGCCGTGATGATCCTCGGCGAGCCCTTCAGGCGCGACGAGGCCTTCGACTTTGGGGCGCAGAGCACGACGGCGCGCATCCAGGGCCTCGTGCCGGTGCTGCTGCGGCACCGGCTCACCGCGCCGCCGCCCGAGAGCTACTCGCTGCACCGCAAGATGTCGGGCGCCTTCCTGCTGTGCGCCCGCCTGGGCGCGGTCATCACCTGCAAGGACATGTTCGACGACATCTACCGGCGCTACTGGTCACGTGACGAGGCTTCCGGCTCGCCGGCACCGGGGCTGGTGGGGGTGGCGCCGCGAGCGGCGGGTGCCTGTTAAGCCCGTCGAAAATCAAACCTCCACCCGGCTGCCCCCTTCTCCCCGCGCCATTGGGTTGCCAACGCCGTGGTGGCAGCAGTGCGGAGAGCACCCAGGGAAATGGGCGGGCGGCGAATGCTTTATTTTATTTGTGCAATTTATTTTAAATGCAGTACAGCAACGAAATCGGCTCGTGGTCCAGGTACTTGGTGGATTTGTTACCGTCACAGGATCGTGAGAGATGGACACGGCTTGGGGGGAGGGTCTTCATCCATCCAGCGGTTGGTTGATCATTTCTGGTGATGACTCAAATTGGGCTTGGGCAGCACACATACGTTGCTATAACGAGTGATGTTCGGTGGACAGGATTAAGTACGGTTGAACATGGAGAGGGAATGCGTCCGAGGGAAAATCTGCAGAGAAGATGGAGTTTTGAAATAATGTCATGGATTGTTACTTGGTAGGATCGTGAGAGGTGGCAACGGCTTGATCACGGGCGATCGTGATGATGACGCCGACAGTGATGCTTCTCTTATCCCCACTGTATTGCGGATAAGAGGAGTTGCACGACAGTCCCGGAAACTTCTGCTGCCACAGCAGAGCGGTTGGCGGTTGTCCTCGTCTCGTCCGTTTTTATTCTACGGCCGATGTTGGCCGTGTCGCGGGGGTCGAGGTTTGTGTTCCGGCTCGTGCCTCGTGCAGAAGTCCGGGTGAGAGCGAGGGACGCGTGAACCCCCGGATGGATATTGAGAGCGGTTCCTGTTACAAACCTCGTCGCGTTTTAGAAACGAAGCCCTGTACGCGTGGAGGAGATCGGTTCCCATCCAAATAAACTGGTGTGCAGGTTAAGTGTGTGTTCACGTTCATAGTGGCTGGGTTTAGTGAGTGACTGGGTTTCGGGAGGGTGTGGGTTTAGAGGCTGTCTAGGTTTAGAGAGGGAGTGATTTGATTTAAGGAGTTACTGGGTTAGAGAGGGAGTGACTGTTTAGAGACGAAGTGACCGAGTTTAAGGAGTGGCTGGGTTTAGAGAGGATGTGACTGGGTGCAAAGGAGTGACTGGTTTTAACAAGTGACTGGGGTTTTGGCGAGTGATTGTATTCCCCAGCGCGGACAAGAGTGGCCGCTCTAGCCCCGCGCCTATCCGCAGTGGGGATTGCAGAGAGGGGGCGGGGCGGCTCGGCTGTCAATCAAGCGCGGGCTGAGCCCGCCCGACGTCAGAGGCGCGGCCTCAACCAATGGGCGCGCGAGCCCCGGGGCGTGACGTCTCCGCGGGCGGCAGCCAATCGGCCGCGCCCTGCGCCGCTCAGGAAAAACAACGGCGGTTCCGCCTCGCGGCCGGGTTGGATCCGGATCCCGTCCGGGTTTTTTTGCGGACCGTGAGGAACCGGATCCAGTGGGGGTGGGCGGTGGTTGGGGGCGGGGGGCATTTAAACACCTTGGGGGGTGGGGATAGGTGGGGGCGGGAGTAGGTGGGGGGTAGTAGATGGGGGGTAGGGGGCGGGGTGGGGTAGATGGGGGGTGGGGCGGGGGTAGGTTGGGGGTAGTAGATGGGGGGTGGGGCGGGGGTAGGTGGGGGGTGGGGGGCGGGGTGGGGTAGATGGGGGGTGGGGCGGGGATAGGTGGGGGTAGGTGGGGTGGGGGGCGGGGTAGATGGGGGTGGGGTGGGGGTAGGTGGGGTGGGGGTAGGTGGGGGGGTGGTAGATGGGGGTGGGGGTAGGTGGGGTGGGGGTAGGTGGGGGGCGGGGTAGGTGGGGGGCGGGGTAGATGGTGTGGGGGGCGGTGTGCGGGGCGGGGTGGGGGTAGGTGGGGGGGTGGTAGATGGGGGTGGGGGGCGGGGTAGGTGGGGGGTAGGTGGGGGGCGGGGTAGGTGGGGGGTGGTGGTAGGTGGTGGCGGGGTAGATGGGGGTGGGGATAGGTGGGGGCGGGGTAGGTGGGGGCGGGGTAGGGGGGGACGTGGTAGGTGGGGGGGTTGTAGGTGGGGGCGGGGTAGGTGGGGGGGTGGTAGGTGGGGGCGGGGTAGGTGGGGGGTGGGGATAGGTGGGGGCGGGGTAGGTGGGGGCGGGGTAGGGGGGGACGTGGTAGGTGGGGGGGGTTGTAGGTGGGGGCGGGGTAGGTGGGGGGGGTGGTAGGTGGGGGCGGGGTAGGGGGGGGCGCGGTAGGTGGGGGCGGGGTAGGTGGGGGGGGGTAGGTGGGGCGGGGTAGGTGGCGGGGTAGGTGGGGGCGGGGTAGGTGGGGGGCGGGGTAGGTGGGGGCGGGGTAGATGGGGGGGCGGGGACATTTAAACGCCTTGGGCGGAGGGGGGGCGGGGGCACGAGGACCCGGATCTTGGAACCGGATCTCGAGCCGGGGCCCCACTCGGACCCCGCCCCGATCCCCCGCCGCGGGCCCCCGGAGAGGAGCGGCAGAGACGACGAAGACGACGACGGCGGCCGCCGAGCAGCGCGACCACGACCAGGAGGAGGAGGAGGCTGCGGGGACGTCGAGGAGTCGTCGGTGGTGGTGGTGTAGGAGGAGGAGGAGGCGGCACGGGACGCGATGTCGGGCCGTGGCGCCGCCGCAGCAGCATCCGCGGGAAGCGACCTCAAGCCCAAGGCGAGCGCCGGGGCCCCCGCGGGAACCGAGGGGATCGCGGCGGCGGCGACGGCGGCGACGGGGGCCGCCGGGGCGGGGATCAAAGGGGACCGGGCCCCGTGCGGGCGGCGGTGGTGGGCGGTAGGGGGTGGGGGGTGGAGGCCTCGGGTAACGCCGAAGGAGGCGAGAGAGGCTGTGGGCCGCGTCTCCCCTTGCGAGGGAGCTTGCGAGGAGACCCGGCGGGGGAGCTGTGGGCACGGGAGAGGAGGAGGGGGGGTGGCGTTAAATGGCGAATCGTGGCGCAAGACGCAGCGGTGGTGGTGGTGGCGGCAGCAGCGTCGTCGTTGTCGGGTTTCCCCTTCCTCCCCACGGCCCGGGCACGGTCAGGGCCGCGGCTGCACCGAGAGACGATGGTGGTTGTGGTGGTTGGGGGGAGACGACGAGGAAGGGACTACGGGGCTACTCGATGGGGAGTCACGGGGTTGCCTGGGGGAGATGCTGGGGGGTGGTGGTGGGGGATGCTGGGGGTGGCTGGGGGAGAGACATCGGGACGGGGTAGACGGCGAGACAATGGGAGACGGGGACGTGGGGAATCACTTGGTCGAGGGAGATTTTTTGATGGGGACAATTGGGGTAGACAGCGATGCAAGGGGAGGGGGGGATGAAAGACGGTGGTAACTGGGAGAGACGTGGAGACGTGTATTCTAGGGAAGACGGTGAGATAACAGGGGGAGAGGTACGAAGACCAACAAATATTGTGGATGAAAGGTACTCGTGGGGGTAGGGGGGAGGGCACGGGAGTTCGGTTGCATTAAGAGGAAGCGGAGTGATACGAAGGTAGGAATACACATGGACGTGGTATTGCACACGGGGATTAGGGAAATTGGGAGACGGTGAATGGCGCGTAGAGATTTGGGGAGAGACGGGCAGACGTGGATTAGGAATAAAGGGGGGGGGAGGGAAGAGAGACGCGGGGAGAGAAGTCAAAAACGAGAAGATTCAATCGGATGCATGGCGAGAGACCGGCGACGGAGGGGCTGGATACGAGGCGACAAGGGAACGGAAAAGACTGATTGAGGGGTAGGGAGACAGAGGCGAGGGGATACATGGAGAGCCGCGATGCAGAGAGGGACAGGGAGACAGGAGGAGCTGCTGTGGCTATCCCCTCCCCGTGGGGATGCGGATACGGGACTGCTCCACCGACCTTTGACCCCCCCGCGCCGATGGGATTCACAGAGCGGCCATGCAAGGCCCGTGATGGGATACGCCGTGGTGATGGGGTTGGGATGTATGGATTGGGCGGCGTGTTGGTGTATTGTCGCGGTTTGATGATGGTGCGGTATTGATGTTTATCATGGTTTTGGCGGTGGGGTGGAGATGGTGAGTTGGTGTTGATGTTGGGGATCGCGTTGGTGATGATTTTAGGGATGGTGGAGTAGGGATGTGGTGATGGTGTTGGGAATGGAAGTGGCGATGTCGTGATGGGTTAGGTGATGGTGTGGTGATGATTTTGGGGATGGTGTAAATGCATGTGTGTTTTGTAAGTTTGACTTCTTTAGCACCCTACGTAGCCAACCGTGCTAATCGGAGATGCAGGGGAAGGACCACAAACTGCACAAATATGGTGTATCGATGGAGATCATTTCGGTGTGAGTGGTCGTGGTGTATTTGTGGTGTGGTAGTGTTATTTTGATGTATTTTATGGGGTCGAGATGGTGTGGTCGTTTTATGGTCATGGTATGGTGATGGTGTGTGGTCGAGTTGTATTTATGGTGTGATAGTGGTGATGCTCTGGTAGTCTTGTAGCGATTGTGTCATTGTGCTGATAATGTGGTAGATTTATGGTGATGGTGTGGGGGATTGTGTGGTAGTGTTATGGGCATGGCATTGTTGATGCTGCAGGAGTGTTGGTTATGCTGCAGTAGTGTTGTTGATTCTGTGAGAGTGTTGTGGTAATGTGGTAGCGTTGTGTTGATGTTGTAATGTTGTGGGAGTTTTATGGTGATAATAATGCTGTGTGGTAGCATCGTTGTTGATGCTGTGGTGTAGTGTAGTGTTTATGGTTTGGCAGTGTTGTGGCAATGCTGTGGCAGTGTCGTATTGTTGCTGCAGCTGTGTACTGGGATGCTGCAGTAGTATTGAGGTGATGATTTGGCAACGTGCTGTGTAGCCGTGGTGTGTGGTGTACCCATGGTGAGCGGTGGCACAGTGGTTAGAGAGCTGCGCTACAAACCCAGCAACCCGAGTTTGATTCCCCCTCACGACCAGTGGTGAATATTTGAACCAGTCCCTAGGGCTACCCGAGGTCGAATCAGCCTCAAATGAGTTCCTGGTGCAATGCATAAACATCGCCACTCGGAAGACAAAGATGGTTGGGCATGGTGCTGGCCACCCCCACCACATCGCGTTCCGGCCTTCATAGATCCTCGCTAGCAGCATTTGTGCCTACAGTCTGTATAAAGGCTATACGGGGGATCTTTGTCTTTGTGTGAATGCAGCACTTGTCTATGGAGGGCCGCTTTGACACGCCATCCTCCAAGTCACTGCGAGTCAATGGCTCCCGCAGTCGCAGCTCCATCGCGTGTGGGGAGGAGCTCCCCCACATCGGCAACTACCGTCTCCTAAAGACCATCGGCAAGGGCAACTTTGCCAAGGTGAAGCTGGCGAGACACATCCTCACCGGCAGAGAGGTGAGACCTTCCACCGCGACAGCGTGTCACTTCACGGCAATTCAGAGGGATTGCTCGGCCATGTACTTGGGTTGTCATGATGTATTTTTTCACGTTACGATCCAATATACATTTTGACGACGTGACGAATAACACTCCATCCTTTTCCAGTGGCCTAGTTATTGTTAGGTATTTTTATTGTGTCGTTTTTGTGTTTTGCTGTACTGTACTTCCATCAGTACATATGTAGCTTACTTAAAATGTATTCGACCAAAGCTTGTTCGGCAAAATCCTGCTTTAAGTCTTCTAGTCATTGCAACTTTACAGTCTGTGCTGCTAACAACACGGGTGCTGTCACTGACACAAGAAATAATGAACTCATTAATTGAGCTACGAAAATGATGATGTCATCTTAACCACCTTGCTGTCAATCACTTCGGCAAACATTTGACAAAGCACAGATTTTTTTTATGGCGAACGACCATTTGTGTAGAACCTTCATTATCGTGCTTTTGTTAATTCGTACGTATTTTGTCAATAAAAAACACATTTAAATGAGGGACGGTGATCGTTATATTTTACAAAACGGACGATGCGATTTATCTTGGACATTGTCTTCCCTGTGTATAAATGACGCTCTTTGCATCGTCACCAGGAGCTCTACCCTCGTGGCTGACGGTTGTCGCCTTTCTTCCCTGTAGGTGGCCATCAAAATAATTGATAAAACTCAGCTGAACCCAACAAGCCTTCAAAAGGTACGTGCGCATTTCGTTCTGAACTCTAGACTCTATCTGCATTTTGCCTTGGTAGTTGCTTTGTAGCTTTCTTTTACCTTGCGTTGTCAGCAGGAATGATGGAAACGCTCATTGCTTTTTTTGTTGCAGCTCTTCCGAGAAGTCAGGATAATGAAGTGTCTGAATCACCCCAACATCGGTAACTTCATTGCATCACTGCTGCCTGAAGGGATGGCCACACTCGCAATAATTTAAGCTCTTTTGAGTTGCTGGTCTAAAAAATAATCCAGCCATGCTCTCGGCTCTTTTTTGAGTTGGTGGTCCAGACAAGGCTATTTGGTGGTCACATGACATACACACGAGGCATATCGATGGAAGTAGTGGCATCCTGCCATTTGTAAAGCGACCTTTGCGTGTCGTTATTTCTGTCGGAAAGCTCGCTCGCGCACACGCACCTTTGCGTATTGGCCGTCGCGGTTACCTGTAATACACCGGAGCAGTATTCAGCTACGTGATCATTTGGGGTTTTTTTTGTGCGCGGCAGTGAAACTCTACGAGGTGATCGAGACGGAAAAGACGCTGTACCTGGTCATGGAATACGCCAGTGGTGGTGAGTGTCAGTGACAGGCCACGTTCATCCAGGGGGAAGCCCTCGCAACATCAGCAGCAATTATGGGCAATTGGTTAGCATATCGGGTCCCTCGTGTTGACCACATTCGTGCGATGATGGCGCAGCATGGAGGAATGCGTCGCGGAGTGCGTGGCGTCTCGCAAGTGGGGAACGATGGCAAAGTGCTTTCGCGTAATGAGCTACAAACCCCGGCTTATCCAAGTTCCATCCCTGGTCACGGTTGACATGGGTGTCTATTAACTGAACCAGTCCTGGGGGCTCGCATATGTCAACTCCTTTTTCAAAATTTAGTATGTAACTTGTGCAGTGTGTAAGCATCATCACTGGGGAGACAAAGGCGGACGTGCATGGTGCTGGCCGCCAGAAGCTTGCATATGAAATGTTCAATCTCAAGGGATTGTGCAGGTTAACTGTTTCAAATAAACCCCCCTCCACCACTATGTTCCATTCCAACCTTAATAGGTACTCGCTAACAGAACTTTCCCCAAAAACCTACAGGGAAATCTTAAGTTTTAACAAGAGGGGTGCCTCTTTAGACTTTGGAGTCACTACAACCGTGAACGGAGACCACGCTGATTTTTAACCTTGTACAGTTAAAAATCATCATGTCTGTGCGCTACTTTAATGAGGGGTGCCATTACACTTGATACTCCGATGAATGGGGCCCCCTGTGTGTTCGAGCTCACGGCGAGTTGCGTTTCCAACGAGGGCGGCGGGCCGTGCGAGTCGCTGCCTGCGAGCGGCATGAGTGACGCGCATGTGTGTGTATGTGTGATGTGCGTGTGTGTATGTGACGTGCGCGCGTGTGTGTGTCGCCGCCCAGGGGAGGTGTTTGACTACCTCGTGGCACACGGGCGCATGAAGGAGAAGGAGGCGCGTGCCAAGTTCCGGCAGGTGAGGCCACCTCGCCGCCCCGTGTCCAAACCGTGCCCATTGCTGGTGTAGTTGTTGACAGTCTGTAACTTCCCACTGCTGGGCAACGGAATCGCCCCCAGCCCACCAGCTATGCACTTTTAAATCTAGATTGAAAACGAATTTCTTTATAAATGCTTTTTGTGTTTAGTTTTTGTCCTTCCCCCACACTATTTACAACGTATGGTGCAAAAGAAGTTTGACACGCATACACTTCTATATTCCTCTGCGTTTTGCACCCATTTCTGGGACCCCTCTCTAGAGTAAAATGTCTTCCTTATCTCTCATTGTGTCTCATGACGTGCGTGGCCCTCTTCCACTTGATTTATTTTGCTAGGTGTGACCTGTGTTTTTTTTTTACTTATTTCCTCATGCCTTAACCTATCCCTTGACTCTTGACACTCTTCTGAACTCTGGTTTGTTTTTGCTCCGAATTTGAATGTTTATTTGCTGTAATATAGTTAATGCTATTAATTGTATAATATTTGGTAACCCGGGTCACCGGTGCAAACGAGAGATGATCCTGCTCTCCTTGAGTTCTCACCTGGATAAACAAAATTTTACTTTTAAGCTTGAATCATTTTCACCCTCCGCCGTGCTGCAAGAGTTGGAGCTGGGAAGGTGCCAAAGAGTCCGGCGGACGTCATATCGCAGCCGTGTAACAGCATTGAGATGACATCATCTCATGACTGTCATCCCTTGGCCCCTTTGCTGTGTTTACAGATCGTGTCTGCTGTGCAGTACTGTCACCAGAAGAACATTGTGCACAGGGATTTGAAGGTGCGTTTGCTCACAGTCTAGCTCTCTCCCATGGCTGATGTAATGCACGGGCAGAGCTTCATTTTTCACTGACATATTTTCCGGGAAGGCTGGTCGGCTGGACCACTAAACTAAACTGTTGTTTATTTTATCAGGCAAGGCCCACTGAGCTGTCTAGCTCTCTTTCAGAAGTGACCTGGCCACAAATGATAGCTCAACGAAGTGGCTTATCACGTAGACATTTATAGCAGCCAAATACTCTGAAAGCATGTTTATAAATGTGGAGGGGAAAACCGGAGGACCAACAAAAAGATCCACGCGACCATGGGGAGAACCTGAAAACTTCGAATATACAGGCCTCAGGGTCGGGATCGTACCCACAACCTTTTTATACCAGGCGAGGTAGTTAACATCTTGCCACCTTGGCGCCCAGGAATGTGACTGTAACTTGTAGCCACAATAATAACAGAGGTGGTATACTGGATGTGTTGCACCAGATGTGGAATATTTTCAGGTTCCCTGACCCGAAACAAACCCGCCTGAAATTTAGCTCGTCTGAGCATTAATCACTGCAAGATATTGACAGCGCAGCATGATTAACTTACTCGTATCACTAATAATCGACTTTATCGCCATTGGCATCAGCTGGTCTGGTGGTTTAAACCAGCTGTGCGCGGGCACTGTGCGCGGGCGCTGTGTGTAATCTGTGATTGGCTGTGCATGCTGCAGTGTTATTTAGATAATTTTTCTGCTGTAAATTTCCACATAAGCCACTTTGCTGAACTTTTATTTTGTGGCCAGGTCACTTCTGAAAAATAAGTTAATACCTCCGTGGGCTTTGCCTGGTGGGAAAGAGATGGTTTAGTTTAATTTGTATGTTTTTGGGTGGCTTGTTTGCCTTTCCTGTACTTTGCACTACTGTTAATTCCATTATCGGAAGCAGTGATTTGACGAAAACATTCGTCAACGAAGGTTTCTTTTCTTACCCTAGTCAACGATGACCATCGGTGGACGAAAATCGTCGAGCGTGACGATGATCACGACCACCCACTAAATACCACAGCGTGACAGACCGCGACTAACACCGACAAGCCTGGACGAAGACACAAACTGATGATGTCGATGACGATGTTGGCCGTCCACAGGCAGAAAACCTTCTCTTGGATGCGGACATGCACATCAAAATCGCCGACTTTGGCTTCAGCAACGAGTTCACGCTCGTCAACAAGCTGGACACGTTCTGCGGGAGCCCCCCCTACGCCGCGCCTGAGCTCTTCCAAGGCAAGAAGTACGACGGGCCCGAGGTGGACGTCTGGAGCCTCGGAGTCATCCTCTACACGCTCGTCAGTGGGTCGCTGCCCTTCGACGGCCAGAACCTGAAGGTGCGCGGGGGTGAAGGATGAGGACACGGGCAGGTGCAGTGAGCACGTGGTGTGGGTTGTGTGTGTGTGTGCGTGCGTGCTATGGGTAGTGAGTAAATGTGCGTTGTGTACATGGGATGTGGGTAAGTGGTGTGTGTCATGTGGCGTGCATGTGTGTTGAGGGTCTTTTTATTTTACCAGGGACAATGGTTAGTGTCATTTGTGGCCAGGTCAGAAGCGGCTTGGCCGCACATGATAGCTCACCGAAGTGGCTTATGTGAAAACTTACAGCAGCCAAATACTCTAAACACATGTTTCTAGATGAGCGCATGATGTTGGTTGTGTGGGCACGCAGTGGTTTGTGTGTGTGTTTGTATATTGCGGGGTAGTGAGTGAGCGTTGTAGGTCGTGTACGTGCCGCGGGGTCGCGAGCACGTGTCGCGGAGTCGCAAGTGAATTCAACTCTTGGTTGTGTAGGAGTTGCGGGAGAAGGTTCTGCGCGGCAAGTACCGCATCCCCTTCTACATGTCCACCGACTGTGAGAATCTACTCAAGCGCTTCCTGGTGCTCAATCCAATCAAGCGGGGAAGCCTCGAGGTGAGATCGGTGCCCTCCTCCTGGCCCCCTCGTCCCCTTTCCCCTTGACATCAACACTGTAGGCTTTCGTTTGAGTTTGTTGATCGCGAGCAGCAGCACCATGGGTCCTGTTCGGAGCTGGCCTATCTGTACCCTACATTACGTGACCCTCGTAGGATAACAAGAAGATGGTTCGGGGAAAAACAAAAAAAGTATCTTCTCTGTTCCCATGCGTGCTGCCGGACAGGAGGTGAGATGGGAAGGACTTGGAGACGTCATTGACATAATCGGCCGTGGGGTTTTCCCGCCTTCACAGGAGGCATTATGTACAAAGGTTTTTAAAGGGGCCTGAGTAACCGACCACAGAGTAGTTCTTTAAATACTTTGTCTTTTAATCCACTCGACCAACTTGAACGTCCCGCCCCTAAATGCCGTGTTATCATCAGTTGGCGCACGCAGCGTTGAGAGGTCGCCACCAGACATAATGATTCATGGCGCACCCCCCGGCCACTTGAGGTCACCATTCGATTGTGGGATTGCGTTTTTCTTTGACCTTGTCACGCTCTCTCGGCCGCATTGCCCGTGTTGTGTGTTAGCTCGTTTTCTTTTCCCTGTCCTGCTCACTCTTATCAGCTTGAGGGGCAATTACCATAAATGCACATACCATTTACATTGTTAATAATTTATACACGTATTATTTAATGCATGCATCATGTTTGAATACATTAATTATTACATACTTAGTTGGCTGGACATTCTTATTATCCACTGCTGCCCCCATAGATTAGCATTCCCATCCCCCAGATGTCCGTGCTGTTGACTTCCTGCCGCTGTTCAAGGCCAGGCTCAAGACCTTCCTCTTCCCTCCTGCCTATGACCTCTGTCTCTCTCTAAAATAAATATTCCCACTGTTATCTGCAGTATCGTTGAGGTACGGTCGAATGTAGACGCTGCGTAAATTCACATTATCGAAAAACGGTCCATAATGCGACGTTATCCTGAATGTGCATACAAGCTTACATTTCACTGCCGGATGAAAGGTTTTTTTTTAGTCATTGAAAGAAAATGCCTTTGACTAATTATTATGATGAGTTCTATAAATTAGGCATGTAATGATTCATTGTCCCTACTATTTGATACATTTACAGTTTGATTCAATTCAGGAAACGATTCCTTGGTTTAACATTTTCATGCCTCTAGTCGCTACAGCGTGTTAAAGGGATTTCTTGTTCATTTGAGCATTGAGGTGATGGTCATCTCACCAGTTTACAGCCCTGAGCTAGTGGTGGAAATTCCACATTCCTATAGCAGCGGGGTGAGTATCCATTGGACTGCTTCTGTTGTCTTCCCCACAAATTGTTACTTGTTTTATCAAGGAAAAGATGGCTTAAGAAAGCCAACAACCGGGATTTTAACTCTCCAACCTTCCTGTCTGATTGGAAGCTGCTTGCTCAACCACTGAGCCACATGGCCAGCCAAGGGTCGCGTCGGCTAATGGAGTGTAATGTATACAAATCGAAAAATGACAGATTCGGTCACGATCAGACGCGTGTGTCGCGAGCGTAACCATTGATTGGTCAACCGACAACAAACGGATGCATCGTTCGTCCCTCCCCCGGTGTTAAATGTTCAGTGCCAGAGGGATTGTGTGACGGTGGTCCCTGCGTGTCCTGTATGCCCGCGCGACGCGCGCCTGTGTAGCAAATCATGCGCGACAGGTGGATGAACGTGGGTCACGAGGAGGACGAGCTGAAACCCTACCAGGAGCCCGAGCTGGACATCAACGATCAGAAAAGGATCGGTAAATCCACAGTACATGTATTTAGAGTGGTTTTAAATCTCTTACTGATTCACTCTGGCACTGTAGACGCTTTGTTTCGGCGAGGATGCACAATGATAATCTAAACCGGGCTCATCGAAAATTATCCACCTTGAACACTAGACCCGGTACGTCCTTAACGATCCACACTGGCACTGTAGACTCGTTACATCTCACGAGGATCCACACTGACGCACTAGACTGGCTTGTATAAAACGATCCACACAAACATGCTCGAGTTGGTTACATCTGTAACGATGTGCACCGGCACCGTAGACTGTGCTGATCTGTAATTATTCACACTGACGCCCTGTTATGAAGCCCGGTCACTTAAACCGACAGTTTAGCTCGGTTTCGTTGACGCGTTGCTTTACGTGTTGTTTTGTGTGGCAGAGATAATGATTGGCATGGGCTACACGATGGATGAGATTGTGGGATCTCTTTCTGCAAAAAAGTATGATGAGATCATGGCCACGTACCTTCTGCTGGGAAACAAGAGCCCCGACGTAAGTGTCTGCTGTGGTACAAGAGCCGCTGAGAGGTTCGCGGAGCTGTGTGTGTGTTTGTGTAATGCGCTGGTGTAGCGGTTTGCGCACTGCGCTACAAACCCGGCGACCAGAGTTTGATTCCTGCTCGCGACCAACATCGGTGACAATTATCTGAACTGGTCCTGGGCCCTCACCTTGGTCGGCGCAGCCTCAAATGAGTACTTGATGCAATATTTAAACATCACCACTAGGGAGTCAAAGGGGGCCAGGTGTTGTGCTGGCCAACCCCCACCCCCTTCGTGTGCCGCACCAGCTTTTATAGATGCTTGCTCATAACTCTTGCCCCAAAAGTATGTAAATGCTAAACGGGGGGATCTTTGTATTTGTCTTTGATAGTGTGTGTATAGTGTGTTGTGTGTTCTAAAAGTCTGTTAAAACTACACAGGGGATCTTTGTCTTTGTGTATCCGCTTGTCTAGAAAAACAAACACCAGTTAACCCCACCTCGGTACCAGACTGCAACACTAGCGAGTAATGAATAATGCTGCTTTTAGGGAGAAGCTGATGTTAATTGGCCCACAATCCTCATGGAACGATCAGTGGCAGCTGATCTGGCAAGTCGCTGGCTGATGTGCCATCTGCTGGGAACGTGCGTAGAGCGATTTGGAGCCTGAGACCATCATACGTAATTGTGTATTTTTGTATGTGATTGTGTGTGAGTTTTATAAGTGTGTGCGTGTGATTGTGGGGAGTGGTAGCATTGTGGTTAGCACACTGCGCTACAAACCCATTGACTCGAGTTTGATTCATGCTCACCGCCCACACCAGTGACAAACATCTGAACCGGTCCTAGGTCTCCCCTTGGTCAATTCGGCTTTATGTGAGTACTTGGTGCAGTGTGTAAACATTAGCATTGGGGAGACAAAGGCGGCTGGATGTGGTGCTGGCTCACCCATCTCTTCGTGTGCCATGCTGGCCTTCATAGATGCTCGCTTAACAGCACTTGCCTCAACAGTCTGCTAAAAGCCTTTATGGGGGATATTTGTCTTTGTGTGTTTGGTTGTTTGATAGCAATTGTGTTTGACGGCTACTACAGAGTGGCCGTAACTCGTGGTCGGGGAGCACCCTCTCGCTGCCAAAGCTACGTGGGGGAACAGAGGGCGGAGGTGGGGGCCTGGGCCCCTCCCCCTCTCCCTCCGTTTCTCGAGTGCAACGCAGTGTCACCACCAACCAGAAGAACCGGCAGCGTGCCAACGACAACCGTGAGTGCCCATTCCCTCCACACAGTGCCCTGTCCCGATCTTGGTAACGTTGTTGCGTCCATCCGACCTTCATTCCAACCAATGGCAGTGCTTTTGAATATCTGTGTTTGTACCCCCCCTCCCCCGTGCTTGGGGGGCGCCGCAGTGATGAGATCTTAATTACCTCGCCTGGTAGTTGTGGGTTCGATCCCGATCCTGACCGCCTGTATATTTGTAATTTGCGTGTCTCTCTCCCCGTGGTCACGTGGATTTTTCTCCAGGTCCTTCGGGTTTTTCCCTCCACAATTATAATCAACATGCGTTTAGAGTTTATGGCTGCTATACATTTCGACATTAGCCACTTCGTTTGAGCTATCATTTGTGATAGCTTCTGAAAAAGAGCTATGCAGCTCAGTGGGCCTTACCTGGTAAAATAAAAAAATAGTTTTATAGATTCTGCTCATCTGCGTTGCTCGACGCCCACCGTGTCCCGATTTTTGTTGTTTTTGTTGCAGCGGGCCTCACGATCCCCACGTCGACGTCGTACATCCGGCGCAGCCAGACGAACACGTCTGAGCTGGAGCGCGGCGGCGGCGGCGGCACCGAAGGGAGCGCAACGTCGCGGCGCTGGGCCAACTCGAGCGCGTCCACAAGGCGCACGGACCCCGCCACGAGCCCCCTGCTGGGCAAGCAGACGAGTCCCACCAAGACGCCCAGCTCCAACCGCAAGAAGGCGTCCGCCATACCCACCGTACGTTCGCGCTCGTGCTCTCTTCTCTGCACGCGGCTCTCACAGCGGAAATCGCAATGCTGCTTCTGTGAGATCCCCTTCAAGTGACCTCTTATCTGCAGAGTAAGGGGGGCGGCACTTTTTCACTCGCCCTGCCACACAGAGTAATGTTCGTCTAGCGACAGTGAAACCAATCGTTGATCCAAATAAAGCATAGGACCAACTTTAATATCTGTGACTGGACTAAGATTGCAATTCTAGTTTAATCTCAGGACGGCCAAAACCTGGATTCAAACCCAGGACTTCAGTGGTTCGGTCCCTCTGACCTGTGAGCATTACTCAAAAAACAAACAGCCCTTGCAGATGAATCCCATGGTTGTGTGTCCCACGCAGTAGTCTGGCACCATTGAAAATGTTTATTCACGTACCCCAGTCAAGTGTGGCGCTGTAGCACTGTGGCAACGTCACCGCATTGACGCATTGCAACGTATTGGCGCGTCGTCGCAGCGATTTCGCCAGAGTGCCTCTTTATCGACGGCACTCGAGACCGGTAGGAGTGCGGCGTTGAGAGCCACTTGTGAAATTTCGAGGAACGGCGCGTCGCAGATACGTGGCGGCGTTTGTGCGGAGTGCGTGCGGAGTGCGTGCGGAGTGCGTGCGGAGTGCGTGCGGAGTGCGTGCGGAGTGCGTGCGGAGTGCGTGCGGAGTGCGTGCGGAGTGCGTGCGGAGTGCGTGCGGAGTGCGTGCGGAGTGCGTGCGGAGTGCGTGCGGAGTGCGTGCGGAGTGCGTGCGGAGTGCGTGCGGAGTGCGTGCGGAGTGCGTGCGGAGTGCGTGCGGAGTGCGTGCGGAGTGCGTGCGGAGTGCGTGCGGAGTGCGTGCGGAGTGCGTGCGGAGTGCGTGCGGAGTGGAGTGCGTGCGGAGTGCGTGCGGAGTGCGTGCGGAGTGCGTGCGGAGTGCGTGCGGAGTGCGTGCGGAGTGCGTGCGGAGTGCGTGCGGAGTGCGTGCGGAGTGCGTGCGGAGTGCGTGCGGAGTGCGTGCGGAGTGCGTGCGGAGTGCGTGCGGAGTGCGTGCGGAGTGCGTGCGGAGTGCGTGCGGAGTGCGTGCGGAGTGCGTGCGGAGTGCGTGCGGAGTGCGTGCGGAGTGCGTGCGGAGTGCGTGCGGAGTGCGTGCGGAGTGCGTGCGGAGTGCGTGCGGAGTGCGTGCGGAGTGCGTGCGGCGCGAGGGCTCCGCGCTCTGCAGTTGTGCGGAGCCTGGGCCAGGACTCAGGTGCTCGTTGTCGGTTCCAGAGTGATGCGGCCCCGCCGCCCAGCAGCATCATCCGGCGCAACACCTACATCTGCGAGCGCAGCAGCGGCGAGCGCCACCCCTCCACGCACAACGGCAAGGACGCCGGGTGGGTGGAGAACCTCCGCACCTGCACTCGCTGGCACCGCACTACACGCTCGCAAGCACGGCACTGCACTCGCAGGCACCGTACCCACAGGCACCGTGCAATGTTGTCACGTGTCCCCTTGCCTGGAGATCAGAGACGCCACACCCACCATATCCCTTAGCACACACCGAAACACCCGGCAGGGCTTGGTGAGTGCTTCTGCATTGCGTAAACACGAAGCCATCTCCATGCAGCTGGGCCATCATTCTTCATTGAGCATATGCATTGCCTTTGTGCCATTGATTTATTTTTATTATTTGCCTGGCATTTTGTCCCCCTTTTATCTGTGACGTTTCCATGCGTGGGATGTTATGAATGAGACCTCCATTAGAGGGGGCGGTGTTGGTTCTAAGCGAGTTGCTTAGCCATGCCCGCGGACGTCACGTGCAATGTGTGGCGTCAAGACGCACGTCGAAAGCATTGCATATGCCAATTTCCCCACACCCAGTCCAGCTGGGCCCGGAGCCAGATTCGGATGTTATGCGAGACCACCAGTAGCACGGCTCTGTTTCCGGCTCCACACGGCTAATAGCCAGTAGAAAAACACGCGTGCTGTCCTGGCCCCGTGCTAGCATGGCTCAGATGTGAAAGTGGAAAAGGGGTCTGGGCTATATCCGATTAGACACGTTATTGATTGCTGTACTAATTATCAGTTCGATTACACAATGAATCGGATTACACATGAATAGTTACAAAAAGTCTTGCCTCTTCTCCCACGTGTGCTGCTGAACCGGAGGTGATGGACAGTGCTTGGTGATGTCATCAGCATCACCACGCAAGTGACACCGAGCGTGGCTTGTAGAGGTCAACTGCCATTTTTAATTGGGGCCCGAGTTATCAACCACAAAAAAAGTAGTTGTTTTAATATATTTATTGATTAATCAACTTAATCGACTCATTGCCCTGGCTCTAGATAATCAGCCATGGCCGCAACCGAGTAGTGTTTGTGGTTTCGTGAGCATCGTGTGTTTATTTTCCCCGTGTGCGCGCGTGGGTGCTGACCACCACGTTTATTTTCTCCCCTCGGTTTTTTTTGCGCGTGGTTTCCACGTTTGTGTTCGCGGTGCGCCGCGGGCTATCTAGCCCCCCTGTTGCCGCCATCCCAAGCTCCGGTTCCATCCCACCCACCACCTCGCGCCCCATCCGCCATTACAAAACCGTGTCTCCAGCCACAGCCAGCCGCCCCTCCCGGACCCCCCTGCAGCGCATCGAGGACCGGGATGCCCCGCCACGATCAAAGTAAGCCGCCGCCGTCGCGACTGCCGGTCGCCTGCACACGCCCGTGGGGGGGTGGGCGGGGGGTTACCCCCCACGGGGTCCTTCAGCTCTGGGCCCCTTGGCAAGACGACGCTGGGGCTTTTTGAGTCCCGTCGAGAAACTGCCCCGGCACGGACAACACCCCCGACGGTTACAAGCGTTGCCGCGATGGCGACGATGCAATTTTCGGTTACATCTTTGTCGCATTTATTTTTGTGATTTGTGGTACGTCCGGTCCGATTACAGTTTTGTAACTGCAGTTCACTCAACATAACCCTGCCACGAGTCTTACGAATCTTTATAACTTATCGATCTGTTCTGCTTCTAATGCACCCGATGTGAGTTACACAAGACAAGATTAAATAAATTATTGAACTCGTAAATGGTGATATGCAACCGCTATGCTTGAAATTACTTGAAAACATGTTGAAAAGCACTTATTTAATTAATAATATGCATGAAAAATGTTGATTATTTAATTTCTTAATTTTATGTTTTCAGCAATATTAAATCTTTAATGTAATTAAAATTAGCGATTTTAGAATCGTGATATTTAACCACACTGATAGGTACGACTCTCATGGATTTTATATCGTGCGACAAATAGTTTCGCCGTATTGCGGCAGCCCTCGTTACGACACTTAATTCATGTCATTCTGCCAATGCCCCCTTTCACTGTCGTCCGGTCGGTGCTGCCCTCTGCGCCCTCTCGTTTCCCTCCACCCCTGCGTTCGCCCACCTGCCCGGTGGTGGTGCCGTCGCAGCTCCGTCCTAGGCCAGCGCATCCCGGCTATGTCGCCGTCCACGCACAGCATCAACAACAACGCGCCGGAGACGGGCTACTTCTCGCGGGGTGTGTCGGCACGCAACACCGTGCACGGGGGCCAGCTGCCCGAGACGGCGCGAAGCGCGGCCTACAACGCGCCGCCATCGCCCTCCCTCTCCCACGACCACGAGGCACTGTCCCAGTCTCGCCGCGGCCCCTCCACCATCTTCTCCAAGCTCACCTCCAAGTTCAGCCGCAGGTAGAGATGCAGCGGCGGCAACAGCGGCGGCAGCATCGCACGCGCCCTGGCGAGCACACACACGCATGGGGCTCTCTCGCACGCAACCTTGAGCGCCATCTTAGGTGTGGATTTTTACCCGCTGCCCTACTCGTGCAGACAGGCGTAGTGGTGGGCAAGGCTAGTTAGTTGCCGAGCTACGTCCGTGCCGGGGTTTCGGCGTGCCAGAGATTCCTTCTGTAGGATTGCAGGCTGCGCTTCCAGCTGCCGTGTTCTGACCGCATTAGAGATGGGAGCCACTGCATGTGGTTTACTGTAGCCGTTGGTTTGGCCCGATTTTGAGAGTGTGGGGCACACCGCGGTGCAGACGCCTTCGTCTGCGTGAACAGAATTTCCTACGCAGCGTCTCGTCAATTGTAAACTCCGCTTACGAGGAATGTTGCCACGACGGTTGGAATGTGCATCAGAACGTTGCCGCCTGCGCGCACCGTGCGGTATTACGAGGCGCTTCTTTGCTAGTGGTTAGGAGGATTGCAATAATATTTATTGAATGCATCGTGTATTTTGGCACTTTAAATTTTGAGTGAAAGCGATATTATAATAGCTCTTGGGTTTATACCCGAATCATATCAACTGGCTGATGCCTCTTTTCGTTGATGTAGAATTGTTGATTTTTTTCAAAGCTAGTTCCAGAAGGCTTGCTTGGCATTGTGAGTGTGTGCAGTGTGGTACATCTTTCCTTGTCCTGCAAAATTTATTCCACGTGAGAAGTCTTTTCCAGCTATTCCAAAGAAAGCATGAGTTCCGATATCTATCTTAACAACTGCCAGAAGCTTTTTAGGTGCTAATAAGTGTTGTTGCTTGTACAGAAGCTATGCTGAGGGTTTTGTCTGGCATTTAGGGATCATGTCAAGTGTGCTCTTAACATTATTAACATGTATATACCCAGGAAAGCCTCACTGTGAATATTAATACACTTTTTCAGGAGGATCCTGCTAAGTTTTGTTGTAGGGAAGATTGTTGCTGTGTGTTTTTCAATTGAGAAATTTGTGGGTAATTTCAAATGTTGTCTTGGAATCTTGTCAGGTGTGTAAGGGTCTTATCAGGTGTTTTTGAGAGGGTGCTAAGCATTGTTGCATGCTTAGAATATGTGCCTGGTTATAAGCAGTGATTAAGCAGTTTGACAGTTAGTTAATGATGTTGTGAGTTGACACATTTTCTACATGTTGAGAAGTTTTTTTGTCAGGCAAAGAAAGTGTTAGGTGGGTAGGGGTCCTGTCAGGTGTGTAGGGGTCCTGTCAGGTGTGTAGAGGTCCTGTCAGCTGTTTAGAAGCCTCGCCGCCTGGTATTTGTGTCCAGAGTCACGATGGACCCTCCCAAGAGCGCCTCCGCACATGCCCCTGCCGTGACCAGCACCCCGGGTGCCAAGACCGCCCGTACGTCTCCTTCCTAATGCTCGCTATCAAGAGTGTGTGGCGGTTGGTGCTAAATCACTCCTTGAACCTCTGTGCTTCTTTGCGTAGCCTCCCCCTGCTGCCGCTGCTGCCTGCCCGACTGACTATTGTGTTTTCTCATTTTGAAGGTCCACAGCCCGGAGTTAAAGAGCCAGGAGACCTGAAAGTCCAAGGTAACAAATTCTGTGCACATTGACGTTAGTGGCGTGCCTTTCGTACACCGAATGTCGGCACCCGCATAATGCGTCGCATGAGCTGCATGCAGAGATTCCACGTGTAAAAAATAAAATACAGGCACTTCCTCCTGAGGTCATCGGGCAGCTATCCCAGACACGGTGAGTAGGACCCCAATCCCGAGCAGGCTCTACTTGAAATCGCTGCACTGTGCCATGTGCCAGGAATTCCCAGTGCTCCTCTGTTTCATCATTTATTTTTGGGTGAGGCCACATTACTGTCTGGCAATTTTATTTTTTCATTAACGAGTACTTGCTTTTAACGCATCAATTATGGTTTCGGCTCAAGTTGAAGCGCAATCCTTCCAACCAAATTGAGCGATTTTAGATTCGACGTTTCGCATTAAACTTTCCAGCCATCTTCAGCACAAAATCCAGGTTGCCTGACCCAAAAATCAACTACGAGTCATAATATTGGCTGCCAAAACCTACGCGTTAAGCTCCGATGTTAGATTAAAGTTTTTCGCATCATTTTAACTGTTTGCAGACCGCCTTCGGAAGGCAGGCTGTTTCCTGACTTTTCAATTGTTACAGTTCATATATCTTGGACTGAAACAGCTTTACAGCCGTAAATACATATGCGCATGCGATCGCTCGTGCGCACATGTGCGTGTCGTCATGTAGTGCGCGCGGTGCCCACCGAGAGCACCTTCTTTTGGCCACGATGCCAGTTAAACGGCGTCGGGGGACGTAAGTCATGCTGCGTTGCTAGTGAGTGAGCGAGCGAGCCGTGCTTGCTTACGTCGGGTGGTTTTGTTGCAGTAGCTACATATCTGGGAATTCGAAAGGCCAAGTCGAAGAAGCAGGGGCCCAGCCAGCCAACCTCGCCGGGGGTGTGACGCCTGCCCCCCCCCCGCCCCCGCGCCGCCCGCTCGCTCACCTGCCCGGCTCGGGGCCCCAGCGGGCTTACGGGGCTTGCTGCCGGCTGCCGGCTGCTCATGGGCCAGTCAGTGTTTGGTCTCCTGCCCTGGCTGTCTGGTTACTGGACATTAACTTGAGGAGAGCCTGGTCGGTCAGCTGGTTTGGTTCCTGAACCCAGGTACCCGGTTTAGTGCTTCTCCTCCTGCTGTGCGCTGTCCTAACACTTGATGAGCACTTTGTTTTGAGTGTTGGCCTGCCTAGCCAGCTATAGCTGGCCGGGCTTGGCTGGCTTGCTGGTTGGCTGGCTATCTGTGGTTGACCCGAGTGGCTGACTGGCTGGTTGGCTGTGCGGATGGCTGGTTGGCTGACTGGCTGGTTGGCTGTGCAGATGGCTGACTGGCTGACTGGCTGACCGACTGACCAGCTGACCGGCTGGTTTGCTGACCAGCTGGTTTGCTGACCGGCTGGTTTACTGACCGGCTGGTTTGCTGACCGGCTGGTTTACTGACCGGCTGGTTTGCTGACCGGCTGGTTTTATGACCGGCTGGTTTTCTGACCGGCTGGTTTACTGACCGGCTGGTTTGCTGACCGGCTGGTTTGCTGACCGGCTGGTTTGCTGACCGGCTGGTTTGCTGACCGGCTGGTTTGCTGACCGGCTGGTTTGCTGACCGACTGGTTTGCTGACCGGCTGGTTTGCTGATCGGCTGGTTTGCTGACCGGCTGGTTTGCTGACCGGCTGGTTTGCTGACCGGCTGGTTTGCTGACCGGCTGGTTTGCTGACCGGCTGGTTTGCTAACCGGCTGGTTGCTTGTGTGGATGGTTGTGTGGATGGCTGTCTGGTGTGTCTGTTTGATGCTCAGCTGCTATTGTGACTGGCTAGCCGCCTGTCTCAATAAGTTACCCCTCCCCCTTCCTATCCTGGGTAGGGGTGGGGGGGGCAGGTTAAAAGCTGAAAATACTTTTGATACCAGGGTAGATTGGCAGAACAAAGGCAGGATAAAAAAAGAGATGTAAATATTATAAGCATACGGGGATTTCAATCATTTGTTTGCACAAAGCTGTGAAGTCATAAACAAATTTAAAGCATTTGGAAAGTCTTCCTTATGAATAGTGTTTGAGTAGATATGATAATTATTGAGACTGACCTAATGTATGTGGCTGTAGCTTGTTTGGGTGCGAGGGTGAAGGGGGGGGCGGTGGTGGTGAGAGCACGCAGCTCGTGACGTCACAGCGAGAGTGCGAACGCCTTTTTAGGACAAGAGGAAGCGCAGCCTCTGTGCCAGTGTTAGGGGGACGGTGCTCGGAGCGGTTCTGTACATACAGGCGACGCCTGCAAAGGCAGTTGGAGGCAGGTGCGCACATTCCAGCACGGAGTCGATGGTCAGGTGTACAAGTTTATGCCTATGCCAAACAGTTGACTTCTTCAAGTTTAACCGAGGAGTCTAAAAATAGCCAACTTGGGAGAAAAAAAAAACTTGATTCTGTACATTTCCTGTCTTGGGAGGAAGTCGTGTGTAGTGGGGGGGGGGGGGGGTGGCGACCGCGCGTGTCCTTCGTACGCGTGCGTGGGTGGCGGCACACCGGGGTCGCACGCAGATGAACAACACTTTGCAGCTATAAACTCGCGGAGCAATGCAAGGATCATCCCCCTCCTCTCGGATGATCCCCTTTGGCAGTGAAGCTCCACCTTCTCTATCAACGTCACGTTAACGCTGTCGTGAAAATCGCACCCACGGTCAAATCGCTCTGAAATTTCTCCGGATCTCGCCAAAGTATGGAAGTTATTAGAGCAGGGTTGAGCCTGGTTTGTAATGCGGAAGGGAGACTGCCAGGGAATGCCAGGTGTTGTAGGATTGGGGCTGGAAAGGGAGACTGCCAGGGAATGCCAGGTGTTGTAAGATTGGGGCTGGAAAGTTGCTAGGAGGTCGGCCGTACAGAACATTGGTTCTCTGGAATCCTATCTGTGCGGATATGAGTGTCATCCTTTGTACGCGTAAGTTTTTCCTGGGTATACCAGTTTTCTCCCGCACGAAGCCAAAACACTCGTTTATATAATTGGCCAAACATCCCAATGTAGTGGGACCCTGCTGAAATACGAGTCATGAGACTGGTGAGGACTTCCTGGTCCAGGAACATTTCCATAATCATTGTACAAAGTTACCAGCACGAGACGCGGGGTGGGTGGGGGGGTAATGGGCTGGGTCTCGCTGCCAAGTTGACTCCCTGAGCCTTGCCTGGAGGCTCTGTCCTTTGTGCTCCTCCCTCCCATGAGTCCCCAGTCTCAGCTATCAAACTACTGCTCCCCCTCCCTTCCCCGACTCTACTCACACCCTCCACCCTACCCCCCCACACTCCCTCCACCCTGCCCCCCCACACCCCCTCCACCCTGCCCCCCTCCCTTACCCATGTGCGATCCCTGCTGGTTTGAGCTCACCCTAATCATGTTTTGTGAAATATGAATATTTGGGGCTGTACATAATCCTGTAATAATCCTCACAGGTCACTCTGTCATCTAGTGTATTTTCCTTCATTGTCTTTACTACTTTTTTGCTTTTCTTTTTCTCAAAAAAAAAAGTTTTAAATGAGTGGCTTGGTTGTCAATAAAAAAAAAACTGTAGTTCTTTCATGTGAACGTGTAATAAACGTGACGTAAATTATGCACTTGCCAAATTTATTCGCCCTGGTTTTGCTTCTGCTTGCCGATGCGCGGATGGGTGCGCGCGCGTGTGCCCACGTGTGTGTGTGCGCGTGCCACCCTGCGTCACACAGGGGTGCTCTTGTGAAGCAGCTGCTGCCCTGCCCCCCCGGCCCTTGGTTCATCGGTTGTCGCTGCCCTTTTGTGCCCGGCAGGTTAATTAAAGGCACGAGAGTAATCACTATACTTGACCAACCTCACCCGTCTCTGTTACTGCCTTCTCTAGATCACAGGAGGCACTTGTTTTTTGCCGTCTAATTTAAAGCAACGTTTTTTGGGCGGGTGCAACTTACAATTGTTCGTGTGCATGCGACCAGACAAGTATTGTAACTAGGCCCAAGTTTGGGATGCCTTTTACTTTACGGACAGCCTCGTAATATCTACTACCGTCACTACGGTCATTCGGCAAGATTTCAGAACGGTCGAGTTATATAACAATCGGTATATTAACGCGTATGCGGTGTCAGTTTTATCGGTCGTTTCTATAATTCTCCTCACTATCCTGTTGGCGAAATCTCCAGCATTGAGAACAGTTGGGGGTTGGGGGGGGGATGTTGACATCCAGGAAGGCAGAAGGGATAACGACACGCGCTCAAAGCACACACACGAGACCCACGGCGGAGTGGCCACTGCTGCCTTAATGCTTTATTCCATCCAATGTTTCCTTCTTGCAGACAGCGAGGGGGGGGGGGGGGCAGTTGTTGTTGTTGACGCGGTGTGTAATTTATCACTCGCGGCTGCAGCGTGTATGTGTGTGCCGCGACGGGAGAGAACACCGGCACGAGCGATGGAGCGTGCGCGCACCGACGACGAGGGCCCCCTGGCGCTGGCCCGTCGGTGAACCCAACGAGAAGGGCCGTCTTCTCCCCCCGCCCCCCCATAGCACCTCGCGCACGACACGCGGGAAACGCGCGCCGCACACGTGCAGCGATGTTTGCTGCGCAGCAGCTCGATTGACGAGATGTAGTTGGGGCGGAGGGGGGGGTGGTGGTGTTGCAGGCGAATCCGGTGCAAGTATTCAACCTTTTCCAAAATTCCTCAAGTCGACTCGCTCCCTCCCTCGGTCACCCCGTATCAACCACGACCGCTGCGTGCGTTTTGGAATATCAGATGAAGCTGCGTGAGCGCCCAGCCTGCGCCTGCGATTGACTGACGGGAGGAAGTTGACCTGTGGGCAAGTAGGGGTTGGGGGCGTTGGGGGGTGTAGCAGGGGGACCCGCTCGGGGGGGGTTTACTTCTGTGCGGGGATGAGGTCATCGATGGTCTTCCCCTTCTCGAGCTTCTTCTCCATCTCGATGAGGAGCTTCACGCCGTCCACCACCAGCTGCACCTGATGCACCTCGGACGATCCCAGACGGTCGGCGTTGGAGATGTCGTACACGCCACCCACAGCCGCCGTGTCCACGCCGCCTGCGCACGCACAGACAAACGCATTTCCCAACGTGGCCTTGTTGCACCACGTCGTTGGTACTGTAGCGAGGACTCATTGAGGCTCGCGTGGCCACACGTGGAAGAGCGTGGTTGTAGCCAGCACCACGGACAGCCATTGTTATCTCCCCCCCCCCCCCCAGGTGGTGACGCTTTAATACCACAGCACTCGGCACTCATTGATGGCTGAGTCGACAGGTGAGGCCCATCGCCAGCCTTAGACGAGTACCTGGCGCGGTGTGCGGACCTGAGCTACCGAGGGGTGTGGGGAAGGCGTGTGAGCGTAGGTTCTGGCCACCCGTGCCCTGGGATCCGTGCCAAAATGTGGTCATCATCGTGGCCGGGTCTTTGACGCACGGAGAGCACAGTGTGTACACTGCCACTTGGTGCCCTCGGGGCACTGTGCAATGCCGGGTCGCACGTCGCTCTCCCGCTTAAACTTGCTTCCTGCTGCTTTGCCCTGACCGCATGGTGGCTCTGCGGTCGTACGGCTCGTGATGTCGATGCAGAGCAAAACCACAATTTCACATTCAAGGTGGTCAAGCCCAGATAACTGCATCAGGAACAGCAGAGTGGAGTGTATCCCTGCGATGTCGCCTTCATGTTTGTTAATCGGGGCATTGCATCGTTATACGTTTGTACGGCCTCTGATCTGGATGACCACAGTCGCAACACTTCTGGAGAGTTTTCAATATTCCATTTGTGCATCAAAGTATCCGCATCTACTGCCCATGGTCTGTACAGTGGATGCGGTTTAGGGTGGACCATGCGCCTCGTGGAAGATCAAACCCCTCAGGGATCGTGACTGCTTCGTGTCATCTCAGCACGGCCCCAACCGTGCTCGGGATTTCCACAAGCCGCTCACTTGTCGAGGCATCTTTGAAATCAGTCGAGCGCCTCCCAAGATTGAGCTGAGACGCCGTGTTCGTGGCCGAGGGAGCCAATCGGTGACTGCGAACGCGGTCCAGAATGGACACTGAACTCTTCCGCTCGGATATACCACTCAAGCTCTATCGCTCGATTTTACCACTTGGTTACACCGCTCGGCTCTACCGCTGTCCACTGCCGCTCGGTTCTACCGATAGGTGATGGCGCGTCGCCCCCCCCACCCCCATACCAGTGCCGCGCTTCTGCAGACGCAGGCGGTGGAGGATGTCCTCGAACTTGGGGTGCTTGGCCATGTGCGGGAGCTTGCAGTGGACGCCGCCGCGCAGACCTGTGCCCAGGTTGGAGGGGCAGGTGAGGATGTAGCCCAGGTGCTCGCTCCACGAGAAGGGGTGGCCCTTCTCCTTGAAGATCCCCTCGATCTGCCCGGCACATCCACACGCGCACATCACGACAGGCTCTCTGTGTGTGCTGTGTGTATGTGTTGTGTGCGCTGTGCGTCCTTTGCCTTCACACGCACAGTTGAAATAGTCAAGAAGTTGACCGTCGATTTATTTTAAATCGGAACTCGCATTAAATTGGGAAATATGTCCCACGTGTTGAGAGTAGCTAAACAAAAAACACGCACAATGTAGCTGGTGTTGGCCAGACATTCTAATGCTGAAAATGTACGCTTCACGTCACTCGTTCGGGATCGCGCACACAAAGAAACATCGACACCACTGTCGTGAAGACCTGGCAGGACCCTCCTGAAGAAAATTGCCGAGACTGAGATTTGCCGGAGTTGAAGAGCGGACTACAAGTAACCAGCTGAGGTCTCTACAGTTGGCTCCTATTCACACTCGGGGCGCTGCAACGTAGCGACCGATCGGTTGAAACGTGGCAGCCGATCCAAACGTATTCGGGTGCCCGTGTTGTTGAATCAGAATATTTATTTATACCGGAGGAATCCGATGAGCTATAAAGCTCTATTTACACATGTCCAGTAAGGGGTGGGTCAACGCCACAACAACGTACAATAGATAAACACGCTATCAGTGCAACGTATAGGAAAGATAAACAAATCGCTTTAAATATATATATACCAACAAAATGATTGTGTTTTTTTATCTTACCATATAAAGCCCACTGAGATAATAAAGTATTTTTCAGCAGCGACCTGGCCACAAATGACAGCCCCAACAAATTGCCTTATCGCCATTGGCGACTGTGCTGACGGCAACCTACTAAGTGCTTGTGCCGGAGCACCCGGTTAGACCACTCGGGGCTGAAAGCCACGCTGGGGACCAGTGGTGCCACACTCGCCTCTCGGCCCTCTCGAGTCAGCCTGCCCCCTGGTGGCAATGTGCCGATTGTACGTCCCAAGTCGCGTGTCTGTGGCTCTCACAGCTCGAGCAGAGTTGGTTTAACCCGACCCATAAAGCCACGCAACGTGGCCCGAATTCTATAGCCACTGCGCATCACTTTGGCAGCTCTGCGGCTGAATGAATTACGGTTTCGTCGTGCACGCAGATTGCATTCACTGTGAAGTGTTGATTATATATCGTTGTCATTGGCGATGTTCATCATTATTATTATAATCGCGTGTCACGCCCGATCGGAAAACTCTGGCACACCTCCAATGAAACCAATGCAAACGATACTTCTCCATAATTTAACTTCCACGCCGATGTTTTTCTTTTCTTAATTAGCTCTTTACATTCAACGACTCTTCTTGACTTTGACGGTCGACCCCTAAGGCGATCTCCCCTCGACGTTTAAACGAATTGTGTTGGCGATGCTGCTGCGTTGGCAATGGTGCACGGGCACAATTAACAACAACAACAACAAACTCGACGCATTCGTCAATCGCTGTGGAAGGGAAAGAGACGTAGCAGGCGACGTTTTGGGAAAATGTCCCCTTTATCATGACACGTACCGAGAGCGGCCACAGAGATGGCGACGATGCTAGTTGGAGACTGTATTTGGTTTCTACGTGTCGCCTGGAAACCACTCATTTTTTGAACGCCCAATTGCCCCTAATTAATTGGGGCTCACGACATTTCTAAAGACGCCTATGGGCCGTCCGTTCCTCGGGCCTCTGGTCCGCCGTGACCTCGAGGCCCCGTAGCCACGGGTCTGGGTGGGGGGAAATCACCTTCTGCAGGCCCGTGCAGAAGCGGTTGAACACTTCCTTCATGTTGCCGCCCTTCTGCATGGAGATGACGCGCAAATGGTCCTCCTCGTTCACCCACACCAGGAAGGTTTTGTTGTTGTTGTGCCTGCGAGCCGGGGCGGAGGGGGACACACGAGACGGTGACCGTGGCGACGGGAGGTCGGGGAAGGATGGGACAACGGTGGCTAGGAGATGTGAACTACCTCGCCTCGTATGCAGGAGGTCGTGGGTTCAATAACGACCCTGACGCCTGCTGTGTATTTGGAGTTTGCGTGTCTCTCTCCCTGTGGTCGCGTGAAAATGTTTTCCGGGTTCTTCAGTTTTCTCTACACAATTAGAATCAGCGTGCGTCTAGAGCATTTGGCTGCTATCAATGTCCACGTGATAAGCCACTTCGTTGAGCTATCATTTGTGGCCAGGTCGCTTCTGAAAGAGAGCTACACAGCTCAGTGGGCCTTATCTCGTAAAAAAATTGTTTAGTTTAATAACAAAAA